GAATTACACGACAGAGCTAATGTTGAACTAGTCGCAGATAGATTGTCTCGACTAAATAGAAGGTTTAACGATCGCTGTGAGCATTCCACGTACTCTCATATTAATGAATTAATTAATTAATTAACTGTTGTAAAATATATTCTTAGTTATAAAGTAGAAATAAGTAGGTTAAGACTATATTCTTCAAGGGTTTTTTGTAAATTTTTTTCCCTACAAAAACTATATTACCAATAGCAACATATCATAGCTCATTCTCAAACAATTTTTAAGTAGAAAAGGCAAAATCGCCTGTACTCTTAACTTATATACATTACTCACTGTAAATACATATATTATAAGAAAAGTGAAATAAATTTGAATTTGAATTTGAATTTGAATAAAAATATAAGTTTTCTTGTTAGCTAGCAGTTCGTATTTTTGCGCACCCGACTGTAGGCACCTTCACATGTGATGAGCTTATCTTTTATCTGGCGCAGCATATCGAAGAAGCTAAAGTAGAGACGCGCATGAAGCGCACATACCTGTCTGTATTAAATAAATTTCTGGCTGTTGCTTTTTTAGCACAAAATATTTTTACGAAACTTTTTTCCTTTTATTCTATACACATATTTTTGTTTCTTAGCATTTCTTCCGCCTACTGCCCCTTTGCTGCTGTCTGTATGGTCTTTTAACAGTCTTTATTTAATAAATTTTGTATCTCTATTTAGTTTTCGCAGCCAAATAGTGGGTACACGTAAGCGTTTTGCTCTTTGCGCTTCACACCGGCTTCCTTTGTTGGCTGTGTCCGTTGTGGAAGTGGGAAAAAGCGAATCTCTTAATTGCCCTAAACAGGTTAGCAGACACTTGTACGCCATGTTTACAAATAGTTCCACATACATATGTACATCTACATATATTGTTTTTGAATGTTTCTTTTCTGGTTGTAATTCTTTATTATTTTTTTATGACTGAAAATTTTCACAATATTTTATTATTTTACTGCGCACGACTAGAAGTAAAAGTGGGTGGCTATGTGGGGAATTCTGTTAAAAATAATATTCTTTTTTTGTAATATAATCATTTAGTCACATATTGGCACGATTTACATTTGTTGATGACTATATGATTCCCTATTCGCTCTTTCTATTTTGTTAAACAGAATTACATATGTCTTGAGTTTTCTCGAATTTCAGTGGCTTGTAGAAATTAAAAATCTGAAATCAAAAAATTTCTTAGAGCAATTAATGCTATAAATTTGAAAGAGTTAACAACGCAGCCATTAGATTAGGTTAGGTTTATCTGGTAGGCCAATAAGCCACTCATAGATAATACATAACGCATTGCCTATTGTTGATCACGTTTTCGGATGTTAACCGTACACCATTCATTACAATTTCGTCCACTATTTCATTGCCTTCAATGACCTAGTAAAAGTGAAGTTACTTCTGGCAAAACTTTCCACTGCCGCCCTGCTTTCCAAGAAACTTTTGGTCAAAATGCAATACGAGAGATAGATGTTGACTATGGAATTGCCTTCAGGTACATTAGAGGCCAGATCCGTGGATTTCGCAATATCAAAGACCTCAGCTAGAAAAATACTGGAGTGCTCCGGCAACTTGGACTGAAACCACGTCGTGGCCCCCTTCTCAAAATTGAGAAGAAGCTCGGCAGAGGCGATCTTACTCTTGGAAGGTTCACTTGATGTACCCTCAGCTCTTGGGCTTGGACCATCAGACTGCTGAATGCGTTCTTTCTCCACCTGCACAAGTATGCATACTTATGTAATATGACAACTGTCACGACTGCAGAAAACTTTGTAATCCCTGTAAGGGTTTTATTAGACTTAGAAAGCCCTCCTAATATTTACAATGCACCCAAAATTCACTTCTGGCAAGCAGATTTCATAAAGAAAAGCAATTCAATAAGAATTTTGACTTTATAATATCTACGTAACAATTTTCAACAAATTTAGAACAAAATTCGCTCGTCAATATAAGTTCAAAAACAAACCAAATACAGCTAAATACAATACATCTATAACTACATACATATGTGTATCTATTTTAAAATATTCGAATACTTGTTGTACAGTGGCAACATACCAGACAATTAGCGAAATAACACACAACAAATAAACTTAATACAGCTATTATAAATCCAGAGAAATACATATGTACATACATTCAACAAATCTGTAATTACAAATTTAAAATGTGGCAAAGGGAAAAGTAAACAAAGGCTAAACAAAAAACACTTTAGTTTTGTTGTACTACTTTACTGGCATTGAAAACTTCCAATAACTGTAATAATCATCAAGGCAGCAATGACGACTATTAAAACAACAAATACCTTAATCTATCTTCATGAAACAGGAAATAAATGGGCATATCAAATTTGGGCATAAAAAAGGCCACTGAAAGAAAGAGAATATTGATTTCAGAAATATAATTAGCATAAAGTTACATTATAAGTATGTTATGAATTAATAGCAAGTTATTAAAGGCTAAATTGGATATAACCGGACATTTCATACTCTTGCAACTTGCAAGAATGAAAGCCCCGGACTTATTATACTTTTTAACAACATGTTGGAGGAGTAAAATAATTATCGTTAATTACTTTCAAAAAAAAAAAAATTTTAAGTAAACCAAAATTGTGATAAATTATTCAGTTATAGATTTTTTTCAGAATAAAACCAATGAAGAAACACCACAGTTGGTTCATAGGATTTCAAAATTTTATCGACTATTGTCCCATTCTCACTTCGCATTGGTAGCATAGAGAGCGTAACCGAAATATGATTTACAAATTGCGGAAATTACTTCGAAACATAGAAAACATCAACGAAAATAAAAACGGTCTTGTTCCCACCTTGCTGTCAAGCATTAAAACTACCATAAAGCAAACCAATATTTAAACAACTGTATCAATAAAGAAAAGCTTAATTAAACACTTTCAATTTTGAACCAACAGTTGTTTTCGAGTAAACCGAATACTTTGACCTAAATTATAACAATTTGTAAAGCGTACTAATGTATCTCTGTCAGTAAGTGTTCCATGTGTGTACAAAATAGATTTTTGCGATGTTAAGAGAAACCAAAAATCTCATGCAAAACATAGTGAAAATGTCATGAAATTGGAAAGAATTTATTAAATTTAAAATTGAGTTCAAGCAACGCAGACAACTTCTAACGAGGTCAAGGGTTTAATGTTACACCGTTCCTGGTATTTTGTTACACTGTTCAAAACTACAACGGAGGTGTGTTTCGGGCTTGATACTCTGAGGAAAAATACATATCTTTTGATATATCAACCCTCCATAACACCACCAAAATTAACATTTCAGAAAAGCACCAAGGCTATGCTCGCTATTTATAACTGTACGACAAGTGGAGCCTAGGAAAAAGAACTCAGTGGGACTAGAGATATCTATAAATGATGTTGTAGAACTCTGAACATTAAATATATAATATACGCCCTAATTATAGACATATAGATATATATAGCGCGAATTTCGGCGTTAGTGAACTCCATGTTTACACGTCTATAACTGTTGGACGCAATATCCAAACTAATCATGTATAGTGTCGTTTTGTAGGTTATGTCAAGACCTTTCATAGATGTATAGTATTGTCAGATACGAGCTCTGTAACGCTGTATACATTGCCGCGAAATTCAAAAAACAAAAAGGCGGAAGGGATATTTGACAACCTAATACATCTCTGGTCCCACCGGCTTCTTAACATACATATTCATATATGTTCTTATTAGAATAATTTTTTTTTTTATTTAAAGAAGACCATAAGGATAAATAGGAAAGTGAGACAGGTTGACCCAAAGTTTTCAGAGGACCTGGTGCTTTGCAATAATATTTTGTAGATTTTACTCTGCAACAATTTACTAAAATCATCTTCTGACCCATGTTTTCTTCTATCGAAAATAAAATGAGCTATTTCAACGACGGCGATATGATGATATTGCCTTTGAACATGCGCAAAGAATCGTTACGGAGAAACTTCATTTTCGAATTTAATTGGTGAAATTTTTTCATGCCAGAACTAAACCCAAAAAGAATAAAACGAACGCAGTTGAATTTGAACCGACGGGTATAAATTCTTTGTAGAACCAACGATGCAAAGGGTCTCTACGTGCATTATGGAAAAGTAAAATTAGAAAAAAGTGCCATATAAACATGAGTGATATCAACATAAAACGTTGTATTAACAGAAGATTAACCGAAATTTTTAAAAATGTACAACGTCTTAATAATAATGTCCAAAGCTAAGATGTAATCATGTTATCATACAGCATATTTAATAACTAGTTTTCACTTCGTAACTCGGCTATAAACACATAAGCAGTGTCTACACCAATAAAGAAGTTTTGACTACATAATCGAAGAACATTTACAAGATTTTAAATTTTAAGGAGCTGGAAATGCTGTTCGCTAGTAAGAGAGTAATACTAGTATACCTTATATGATAACAATATTGGTGTATTTGGTTAAATCATTGCATCGTCTGTGCTATTTGCCATCGATCTGTTCATAAATCAAAAAGGATTAGTAGGAAAGGATATGGTACTACTTATCTAGATATTATTTTATGCAAACATGCTAGATAGAAGCAATTTTAATTCGTTGAAGATACACAGCCCTTAGGTGACACTTCGGATCATAGAGACAATATAGTACAGAACTACAACTACACCAACATTCCGTGAGAAATCGAAATTAAGCGACGAAGATTACAAGTTCTTTTCAAATTTGGACTATATTGTTAAGTAGAACCGATGAATAGACATCTTTCTTACCTGTTCGACCACCAATTTCACGAGTTGAAACAAAGTCGCCAAAACCATTGCAATCAAGCCGAGTAAGACCAAATCAGACGCTGCATCCAATAGGGCAAATCTCATTGTTAAAGGAAACATAGCAACAAAGCGGCTCAATTTATTTTTACTGTGATCCACAGATTATTTCAAAACACGCGAAAAACTAGTTTTCTTTAATTTCTAACGCAAACAATATGTTTCATTGGCGAGAATTTGGAAGCGGTTTTGTATAAAATTTTGTTTTGTAATTAGTTTTTTACAAACTTTGACATTTAGTACTTAGATGTTGTTCATTCATTATTTATTTTTGTTTTATTTTTCAATTCTCTCTTCTTATGCGTTTGCGTCTCTTGCCTACCATTTAACCCTCGACTTGCTCGAACGTTTTTTTTTTTTACCAGGTCTTCATTAGCCCAACGGCTACCGAGTGAGTGCATGGATGTGTGTGTGAAAGAATTCTCAAATAGAAATTCAATGTGGCTAGCTCAGTTCGACTGCACACAATTTATTTATTATACGCCGGCAGCGGTTATCTGCTTCATTGTTGTTTGTTGTTACAACGTGGCTTTTATTATTGCGGTAATTATAGGCACCTATATGTACATCCACACAGGGATAGGTGCATTTTCGAACAGCTCACACTCATGAACAATTCCAACTGCAGCCGTTCTTTGACTCACACAAATTATTTCCACACACGCACATGCATATTTCTTGTTAGCTCTAATAGCGCAATCAGACTTAAATAAGCACTCACTTGGCACCACTTCAAGCACCTAATCCTGTCTGTCTGTCTGCTCTGCTGACTTAGCCACCTTCGTTATTGCCTCATAAGTAGTTCTCTTCCAAACCAACTTCCTTTCTTACAGCGAACCATGGAAATCGATTAGAAAGAAACTTTCAAGCGCCTATTTAATTGGCCCATTTGCTGTTGTTATTGTTACAGTAGACTTGGTATATACATATATATTTATAAGCACATGGTGGCAGAAAAAATCTTCACCACCGCTCACACCGACCCCATCATAATTGCTGCAGTACACACCTCCTTCATTTGTACCCTATTCATATTTCCTGTTTTGTGCGTGCTCCCTATTTAATTATCAACGGCAGTTCCGAAAAGTTGCATTGATAAGTACACCGATATGTTATTACTAGGGTTTAAGCATTTCTATATGTCCGTTCGCATGTTGTGGTTACCACTGTCTTATTTATCCAGCTTTCCAGCTGCTATTTGATCGCCTAGACGGGTGACCCTGCGTGGAAATACATGAAGGGCTGGTTTTTGTAGAGTTTTGAAAACAATAAGTAAGCTCAGAAGTTATTTCTAGGTGTATCCAGACAACTTGCTGTTAATGAAATACAATATTGCGGGTGTTTAGCGCACCTGTGAGAGAACGTAGAAGATCTACTGTAGTACTTGCCCTTAACAAAGTTCATCTTGCCACAATCCCAGAAGTTGTTATTGCAAATTTTATAGGAGTTCTAGATACCATAGCGGACCAACGTTATACAAGTAAGTATGTCGGAATGTTTGTATAGAGCTTACAAGGTAAGAAAGTGCCCAATCCTAATTTAGGATAAATATTCATACTCGAATTTCGTACACCATGGAGTCGCTATTATTCAATTTTACTAGATCATCTCGAAGAGAAATACGGTGGAGTTTATAATACAGCTTTGGCGATCAAAATCGGTAATTTAAACAACAGTCACCATAAATAATAATATGCTATTTGTCATCTTTTCACTTATTGGAAGTTCAAAAGTCCAGAAAAAGGTTTGGATAGAATAAGATGGTTTAAATAACTTAATTCTTAAAAAATGGATTATCTCGATGTTTTCTAGAGCGGTTTATGATCCAGTGGTTTGTATATTTTAAAAAAACTTTAATATTGATGTAAAAATTAGACACTGACTATCCATGTTAGTTAGCTCTCCCTTGTGGAAATGACATAAAGTGAGCACCAAGATCGTGTCGCCTCAAATTTTTCTTAAGTGAGAATATATTAAATAATATAAATTCCGACTACGGGTTGAATCATATAAATGACTTATGAAATGGAATAAAGTACAATTATGGGAACAATATATGAACCGCTTCCCCAAGCCCTTTCCACCAACAAGCACACGATCAATACTCTAAAATAAAATAATGTTGTTCAACCCAATTTAGTTTTAAACATGCTTTAAAATTACAACGGAAATGAATTGTAATCACTTTTTCAACGAAAGATAACCCACACATGGTCACAACTGAACAAACATGTTTTCAATTTCGATAATAAACGATGAAAAGTGAGATATACATAGAGTATAACGTAATAACAGTTGTACACACCTAAATATGTATAGACATTATATAAGCTAACAATTCAATTGGTTCAAAGAAGCGCGTTAAGTAATAAATCGACAAAGGTGGTTATTATGCTTGTGTCGGAATATGCTTTGAATCTGCGTGGTTCCTAGCTGCATCATTTATTATAGGCTAATTAAAAGGGAAACACAACGTGATGTAAGAAAATTTTTTAGCCAACGGTGTGCCTCCTAACACTTGAAATGTTAATTATTTTGTAATTCGATTTTCTTAAATCTGGTCCAAGACTGCAGACACTAAAAAATATTAGGGAAAAGATGCGTGCTTACATAACGAAGGAAAAAGAAAAGGTCACTGGACTATAGATCAATGAACTACTCATCACACAGCTTATCTGCCTGCGATGCCTTGAAGAAAGTAACCAACGTAATTCTCATTAAGCAGCGTCGAATTTAGATTGAATGGAAATCATTAATTCTCGAAGGGATAAGCGCATATTGTAGGGTTAACACTTTATTGTTATGATTTTTAGTTGTTTAAGTGTTTAATTTTTGTGTAAGTTACTAGTAGAGGGAGCATTGAAATGCCAGAACTCAATGGACGCCATACACCAAACAGCAATTATAGAAAATCGAAAAGGTAGAAAGAGATTTACTTCATACAAGATGTACTTTGTGTAATTCACAATAACCACAGTCCGACCTCGTTACTAAATTAACCGCTCACATATATGGTAGATATTTATATACACGATTTTTATACTCTCGCAACAAAGTTGCTAAGGAGAGTATTATAGTTTTGTTCACATAACGGTTGTTTGTAAGTCCTAAAACTAAAAGAGTCAGATATAGGGTTATATACCAAAGTGATCAGGGTGACGAGTAGAGTTGAAATCCGGATGTCTGTCTGTCCGTCCGTCGTTCTGTCCGTCTGTCCGTCCGTCCGTGCAAGCTGTAACTTGAGTAAAAATTGAGATATCATGATGAAACTTGGTACACGTATTTTATACACATCTAGATGTGTCAAAGTGATCAGGGTGACGAGTAGAGTTGAAATCCGGATGTCTGTCTGTCCGTCCGTCGTTCTGTCCGTCTGTCCGTCCGTCCGTGCAAGCTGTAACTTGAGTAAAAATTGAGATATCATGATGAAACTTTGTACACGTATTTCTAGGCTCCATAAAAAGGTTAAATTGTAAGATGGGCAAAATCGGCCCACTGCCACGCCCACAAAATGGCGAAAACCGAAAACCTATAAAGTGTCATAACTAAGCCATGAATAAAGATATTAAAGTGAAATTTGGCACAAAGGCTCGCATTAGGGAGGGGAATATTTGGACGAGTGAGCGTGGACCCGCCCCCTACTAAGTTTTATGTACATATCTCGGAAATTACTATAGCTATGTCAAGCAAACTCTAAAGAGTCGTTTCCTTCAGGCATTTCCATATACAGTTTAAAAATGGAAGAAATTGGATAATAACCACGCCCACCTCCTATACAAAGGTTATGTATATACGTTAGGAACCAGTGATGATAGCGGAATAAAACTTTACACAAATACGGTATTTGAGCTGAGGTATCCCTTGTGGAAAAATTGTCGTGATCGGACTGTAACTTTTCAAGGTCCCTGATATCGAACACGAAGAACTCAGTGCCTAACCTAACCTAATTTTTCACCGAAAATATTGGTAAATCTCTCAGATATTTTCATGTAATTCAGAGGGCATAATTATAATACTCTCGCAATAAAGTTGCTAATAACGGTATATATCGTTAGATATATGGTTACATATACCAAAGTGATCAGGGTGACGAGTAGAGTTGATATCCGGATGTCTGTAAATCCGTCCGTGCAAGCTGTAACTTGAGTAAAAATTGAGATATCTTGATGAAAGAAATCTCGATTATCACTTTATCATGCCAGAGTATAAAATGTTCAGTGACACCCGAACCTAGCCCTTTCTTACTTGTTGTATATAATTTCAAACAGTTAGCTGGCACTTTGGTGGGTTTATTGGGAAAAACAGGAAATTCCATTATATCTTACCTAAACCATATCTTAGGAATATGCTAAAATGTATAGGGGGATCTAAGTTGATCTAAGTGAGATTTTTTTGACAGATCACGCGTGAGCCGTATCAACCTGTCATGTCATTTTTGTTCATTATTTATATTTTGCCATTTTATCATGAAAAGACTTATGCCTGAAGAAGGTTTAGAAATCGTTCAACTTTATTAGCAAAATTGAGGTTCTGTCAAAAATGTGTTTCTTGCGCTCCGCTCAACTTGCGCTCAACATAATCGGCCTACTGAGCGCACCATTCGCTACACTACAACCCATCTTGAGAGCCAGCATTCATTATTGGATAATATTCTTCACAATAGACCGCTTATACGGATCAAGGGATACCCTATATTAGATCTAAAGTAAAACAATGAATAGCTTACTATCCGGAACAAGCTGTTATATCCGATTATCAATAGGTTGTTGGCAGGACCGTAGTAAGAATTGTGATACTTCAAAAACGATTTTCATATGTTTTCGGCGAGATAAGATGTATGACGATCGAAGAATAGTATTGTGTCACTTCAAAACTATTTAACTCACCCACACATTCTCACAGTAAATATCATCTAACCGCACCAAAAGCGTCCTGTGCTGTGTAATTTTATTAACTTTGTATGTCTTTCATACACAGAAATGTCATGTCATTAGGATAGTGGTCCGCTTACGTTATTGATACATAAAAAACTGATACCAGACACTGCCATCACTCTTAACAATTACCTGACAGCACTGAGTAACGTTATGAACTATGTAAGGTAAAAGAGGTTTACTAAGCCTTAATTAGAATTCTTAATAATTTGCAAGTGTAATTGTGTTTTTTTTTTACGAAAAAAGGCACGAAATTATAACTAAAGCCTGTCACCCTCTAGGCCGGTTATAGATCATTGGCTTATATACTATTTGAACTTGAATGCAGAACCCAAATTTATGTGATATATATTATTGAAAGTTTTTCAAAATTAAAGTCGCGTTTTAGAACTTCATGAAACACATTTTGATACGAAGCAAATCTAAATGCCTAGAGGATTCGCAGAGAAAATAGTTAAAAAATCTTTCAAAGCGAGTTCAAATAGATGAGTGTGTAGTACATAAATATGTATGTATTATTTATAGCTATATTGTTGTTGTATTTTCAAAATGAACAATTTTCAAATAATAAACCAGTTTATGCCTTTCTACTAAGAAGAACTTTGTTTCAAATATAATCACTTAAATTTCAATATTTTTAATAATAAATGTGTAAATACCTTTGTTGACGTCTAAAGTAATTTTGATGTTGTGGTAAATTGTGGAAAATCTGAAAATAATAGATAAATTGGTTTTAGTTATTGAGATCAAACTGAAACTTTATTTATAAAATCTTTTTCTGTAAAACTTTTATTTATTTTCCTAACCTTTAAAAGAATAAGGCTACAAAATTAGGTGGAGGTGCAGTTCTAACTTCAATTAACAGTAAAATAAACTTGAAATGTTTTCCAGATGCCAGCATCTTACATTATCTTTCCAGCAACAATAATTTATAGTGCTCTTAAACAATAAAAGAAACTCATTAAATTGAAAAACAAGTATTTCAAAGCAACGCAATGTTTTCATAGCAACACAACCACAAAAGTGTGTGCATATGTATGTGTGTACAAAATGTATGCATTGGAAACTTTTTTGACTAATTACAACAACTACAATGCAACAATAATTTTTTACTACCAGCCAACGTTGTAGTTTTAGTAGCGAGTATACAAAATAAGAAATATAAACAAAATAAAATAGAAAAAGAATTACTAATGGCACAAGACAGCAACTAACAATAATCAAAAGCACAAAAACAGCAATAAAATTTAAAATTATTTTCATTTTTCATTTTCTTTACCAGCTGCGGCATCTGAGGAATTTCCAAAAACAAATAATAAAACTGAATATCTAATCATAAAGTAGCATAGGTTAAAGAATAGAGAAGCAAGTTAAGATTCAAATTCGAAACCTGCACTTGAGCTGCAGTCTGATTGTGTCGTGTTTAGCGCAGAATCGAACTCGAGTTCTAAACACAATGTAACTCTGCATTTGCATATGTAAATATGATGTAAATTTGTGTGTGTGATTATTGGTTTTAAGCTGCGCTTCACCTCTCTCCACCAAGCAGACCTACACATTTTGATTTAATTACACTTAACCTTAATCACACTGAGACTCGTTGCCACGGACAGACTCTCAGCTTAGAAAAATGTAAGGTTTTGGAATTTCAATTATATGCTTGGAATCAGTAGACTAAAGCAAAATATCAATAAAACTGTGAAATAGAATTAATAAACAATATAGTGGAGTGTTTGGAGCGTCTTCTTGCATGTAAACTGTGTGTGTGTGTGTTATGAGGCAATTAACCCTTGACAATGCTGCCAGCGAGTTTATAATAAAGCAACGCGGGTCAAAGCGTTTGAGAAACGAGATTAAGTTGAAGATATGTAAAGAACGAGCTACAAAAAATGTATTTACATATATTACAATAATTTCACAATGAGACATAAAAGCAGACTTTGCCGGAAGCCTTGATTAAACTTTATAAAGCAATGAGAGCACAAGCTAATGTATTTTATTTTAAGTTATAATTTTTCATAAACTCATTACTTGCATAATCATATTGTATGTAATCGTTTATACAAGTATTAAATAATTTTTCTAAAAAATTTCCAAAATATTGCAACCTTTTTTTCAAATAATTTCAAGGAATTCTTATCGATCTTATTTAAATATTTCATTTCAATTAATTTAGCAGAAGAAAATATTGAAAAAGGTAGCAACACTCAAAAAACCTGTTATGTGCTGAGCCATATCATATGGTAGTTTTAGATGATTTTATGGTAAGGACCGAATCATAAAAACAAGTAAGGAAGGGCTAAGTTCGGGTGTCACCAAACATTTTATACTCCCGCATGACAAGTTTCATCAAGATATCTCAATTTTTACTCAAGTTACAGCTTACACGGACGGATAGACAGACGTCCGGATTTCAACTCTACTCGTGACCCTGATCACTTTGGTATATGTAACCATATATCTGACGATATATACCGTTATTAGCAACTTTATTGCGAGAGTATAATAATTATGCTCTCTGAATTACATGAAAATATCTGAGAGCTAGGTAAGGTTAGGTTAGGCACTGAGTTCTTCGTGTTCGATATCAGGGACCTTGAAAAGTTATAGTCCGATCACGACATTTTTTCCACAAGGGATACCTCAGCTCAAATACTGTATTTGTGTAAAGTTTTATTTCGCTATCATCATTRGTTCCTAATGTATATATTATACAGAGAAGGCATCAGATGGAATTCAAAATAGCGTTATATTGGAAGAAGGCGTGGTTGTAAACCGATTTCGCCCATATTTCGTACATGTCATCAGGGTGTTAAGATATAGCGAATTTCATTGAAATCGGTAGAGTAGTTCCTGAGATATGGTTTTTGGTCCATAAGTGGGCGACGCCACGCCCATTTTCAATTT